AGTTCCGAGGCCTTATAAAGGCACGCAGGCCTTGAGAAAGATATGTGTTGTTTAAATTTGATTAATATCGTGATACCTGTGCTCTGTTAAAATATTGCACTCTTTTTAGAATTAAAAAAAAAAACTCTTTTTGTGATATTAAACCATAAGAAGTGGAGAAAGGGTTAAACTTTAATCTGATTCTCTTTTTATCTGGATGTAGGTGTGATGCCCTTTTCTGCTATGTAACTTGTGCTCCAAATATTTCTTAAGTCCTAGTAAAATACAACTATATAGTAATATATTTTTCAAGAAATTAACACAATAATATGAGATAATTCATAACATTATACTAAAATATTCAATAGCAAAGATAAAATAATAAAATTACATAAAATAAATATTGCTAATTAATAAGCCATAATAAAAATTAACATAATCTAAAAATACTATATTGGTCATGCTAAAATAAGTATAGCTAATAAGTACTAATATTAATTACATAACTAAGCACTAAAGAAAAAGATAAACTAAGTTATGCATTTTCATTATAAATCAATGTAAAACTAAAATAATTATCCAACACTATCGTCATTCCTAGTATTGAATTAATTTCTTTTGTTAGCATCAGTTTGACTTTTTTTAGTTAAAACCAAACCAAACCAATTATGGCCGGGTTTTATTTTTCAATACCAAACCACATTGGATTTTTTTTTCCGGTTTGACTCGAATTAACGGTTTGATGCGGTTTATCGGTTTTATTTGTACACCCCTACCACATTTTATGAGAATTTCCAAGTTTCTTCCAAGCTTCCAGAATTCCGTCCAGGCTTAATTTACTGCTCAAGTAATGTCAACATACACTACTTGTGATTATTTTTTGCAGAATACAATGTGAAATAACACATGTATAAGCTACATCTAAATAATAACACGTAAAATGCCCAAACTCTTTTTAACTAACTCTTTTTAACTTGCTTAGTTTACCGTCTCTTAAGTTGTTATTTTTCATGTGTTTTTAGTATTCCCTATCATAATTTTTCATTCCCAAGACTCAAACATGATATCTCAGGTTAAGGATGAATAGATGTTATATGTCATCCCACCTAAAAACATAAAATTTTCTTTTATGTTTATAGATTGGGAAAAATAAAGTAGTCTTTCTTTACGCAAAGAAAAAGTGGATAGTGACAGTGAATGGTAAGCATACCACTCCCGCTGCAGCAAGAACTAAGCAATTGTTTTTTTTTTCGCTTGTACTTTGTTCCAAAGAGGGATGAATATAACAAACAGTAAACTTATTTTTATTCCATAACGAGCCATAACATATCCTCATCCAATACACCACACTAAAATGGAGAGGAAAACCAGTCGGAAACATTACCTATTTATGTGACACAAGTAGTTCACATAACCATAACTATTTGTAGATTAATAGTTTGCTACTATTCTTTTAGTTGTTATCCCACCAGAATTGTGATTGGAGGTAATCCACAACTTTCTTGTCAAGTTGGAATGCTTTCGTAAGAACATCAGGATTGATTGGTGGGTCTGAACCAAATACTGCATTCGCGATAGTGATGACTCCTGGATTTTGACTACTGAGTCCAGCAAATGCAACAGCCTTAGTCTTTCCCACATTAAATTGAAAATGAATGAGACCTATTGGGAAAACGAACACATCTCCAGGATTTAAAATCTTGGTAAAGAGCTTGTTCTTCATATTTGGACCAGGGTTTGAAAGGACAAAGCCAACGTATAGTGTACCCTCAAGAACAGCTAGAATCTCAGTTCCTCGGGGGTGTGTATGAGGTGGGTTGAGACCATATGGTGCATAATCGATGCGCGCTAATGAAATGCCCAGAGTGTTGAGTCCAGGTAAGTTGCCTACGTTCACAGCAGTTACAGCAGATCCAAGTTGATTTGAGGTATTTCCAGGTATGTTTAGACCCGATTTAAAGAAATCATTTGCCATAACCTGCTTTGGATCCTTGCAAATTTTTCCGTTCACAAAAACTGCAAAGGAAATTTTAATTAATTAAAAAAAAAGACATAAAACTTCATAAAAATTGCTAAGAGCAGATTGATTTTTGAGTTTAAAGTAATTATTTGATCATATACCAGCAGCCATGGAGTCATCAACAGCAACACAAATATCCTGCAAAGGACTAGGATCAAATGCATGGCTCATTGAAAATAACACAGCCATTGTTGCAATGGTTAATATCAATACTTTGAGAGCCATTTCTACTAGAAACTATCTTATGAAACTATTCAAATGATCTTTTTCCGTTGTTGATTTGTGACAAACATAATAAGAAAACATTTCGTATTTATAGATGAATATTTTGTTTGAATTGGTCGTCAATTTCCCCTAATCAAATTGTGGATTAGACTTCTGCATTACCAAGTCATCAATGGTAAATTTATTAAACACTTGAATACTGAGGCTTCCTTCAACAACTACACAGACCAAATCTTATTCACCTAGCAGTAGCAGATAGAGAAATTAAGATTTGATAGAAACTTCCCAAGGAAAAAAAAAGAACGTTTATAACCCCCACTAGATGTAGACTGAGATGCCTTATATTGCACAGACGACCAAATAATGTGTACACAATAATCGGAAATGATTTGTTCTAAATCTTCATTGACATCAGTTAATTACTAAATTACTGATATCCTTGTTAAGTTTGAAAATTATTAGATCAACCACTACATCGATTTATTAAACTACTGTATTAAATTCAAAGTCAAGTAAACCGATGACTACATTGTTCTGCACGTGAGAGGACAATTCATTCATCTCCAACATGACAACCTTGAAATTTCTTATTTTTAAACTAGCACTACGTATTAACAACCTTATCATTGTTATTTTAAAAATGGAGTAACAGAACTAATGAGTGAAAATAAATATTCACGGAATAATATAAAGTTGTTTCTTTGTACGGTCTAGAACATAATTTCCCTTGTCAGAGACTCAGAACATGCAGTTTTTGAGTCCTATATAATACCCAAAAAACAAAATATAGGAAAAAAGAAAGAAAGATACAGTAGTAATTAAACCAACAGAAGTCTTCCTCCTTTTTCTTCACCTGCTAATGTTTTAGTATTCAAAATATAACAGTTACTTTGATGACTTTGAGGTGGAGGCTTCTAATAACACACACTGCAACACACAAATGCGTGTGTGTATGTACATCTAAATTATTAAATCCAAAGGTCTTCTCTTGTTTGGTTGCGCTTGCGTATACAATCACAAGTGTTTCAGAAAGTAATAATATAACAACGAACAAAAAAAAGAAATGGTTATTAATTAGTTTCTGCCATCTTGCCACCTTTGTACCTGTAACCTATGTATTCCAAGATTTCATTATTCTAGTAATTGTTTTACCATTTTACGCATAAGAGGGTCGGCATTAATTTTTCAGCTTTCTGTTTCTAGTTACGAATTACGATAATCAGCATATTACAGTTTTATAAATGACGATCAAGTTGTACCCTAACATCTACCCATTAATTATATCTGATCATATTTTACGTAATTAATTGACTATTATTCGCGAATGAAACCATTTTCTTCCATAATAATTTTTCAAAAGTTAAACTGGAGATTTTAATGTTAATGATTCAAAATGGATGTTGTTTTTAATAAGAAGAATTAACTTGAATAGCCGTTTATTCAATCGCTTAAATTAAAAATAGCCTGAAAATATATAATATATGTATAGTTTATCTGTAATATATGTATAACCATGTATAATTAGTATATAATCCATGCGTACCGGCTACGAAAACCAAATAGTGAATTTGGTCGGCTTTGTGGAAGCCAGAAGTAGGGGTGGATTTACATTGAGTGAAGTGGTATCACGTGACACCGCTTCGTCAGAAAAATTAACTAAATATATGTGTCAAAATGATATCTGAACATTCAAACTGAATGAAATAATTTAGGTGACACCACTGAAGAAGTAAGTAGTTTTCAGCGCAGCGGTAAAGGCTCTAACCTTACTTTGAAAGGGTCGCGGGTTGTTCTATCTTTTGGGCTGAATAATTTGGTTATTTTTTATTTTAGCAAATCAATGTAAAAATGATTGGTTTGGTCACCGCTCTTCAATACACTGCCCTAGCCTGAAAATGAACATATCGTGCTAAATTCATCTCTACTTATTTGAGACAAAGGTAGCTTTTTGTTTAGCCTTTTTTCTGAAATATCTTTTTCACTTTTTTTGTGTTTCTCTTTTGAACATTAAAATGACATCAATGCATTTAACTCCCTTTTTATTTATATAATATTATAATAATTTATTTATGTGTTCATTTATTTAAGTGTGACACCGCTTGCAAAAAATTTTGCGTACGTCACTAATCGGAAGGTGACAGACTTTGCATGGGAATTAATGTTGGCTATTTATAAATGAAATTTCTTGAATTAGTCCTCAAATTTCCCTCAAATAAACAATGAATTAAGCTTCTTAATTACCAAGTCTTCCACGATTAGTTTATAATAAACCAAAATCGTGAACGCTTCTTCAACAACGTAACTACACAGACTAAATCTTACTTTCCCTAGGCATCCACCCTGCTAATGCCCCGGGCTAGGGGTGTACACGGACCGGGGTGGTTCGGACTTTTTAATTACCAAACCAAACCAATTGTCTCGAATTTTTAAATTTATAAACCAAACCAAACCAACAAAAGTAAGGTTTTTCAATCACGTTTTTTCTCGGATTTTTCGATTTTCTCGAGTTTTTCGGATTTTTTTCCGACAAAATCTTCATAGCATAAAATTTATAATTTGTGCTCTAATAGTTCTTAGGTCCTAGTAGGATAAAACTATATAAGATGTTACCCAATAAACTAATACAAAATAATATGAGATGAGTCATAATTATACTAAAATACTCAACAAATCGCATAAGATAAATATTGCTAATTAATAAGCCATAATAAAAATAAACATAATCTAAAAGTACTAATTCATGTTAAAATAAGTACGACTAATAAGTACTAAGTATTAATTACATGACTAAATAATATTAAAAGTGAGTTATGCATCTTCACTATCTAAATCAATGCGAAACTAAAAAAATAAATATCCAATACTATTGTCATTTCTAGTATTGAATTGTATTTTTTTTGTTAGCATTAGGTATTAATTTGATTTTGCTTTGGGCTTTATTTGAGTTACTAACATTTATGGGTTATAAAACATATTTGATTATTCAAAGGTTCTAAGTCTAAGCTTGAAATAATATACTAAAAGAGAGCATTATTAAAGAGTTTAAATTATATTTATAAATTACATTACAATAATTATTTTTATGTATAAAATATTTTTAAAATTTGTATACATGTAATGTCGGGTTGGTTTGATTTCGGTTTGATATTTTTTAGTTAAAACCAAACCAAACCAATTTTGGTTGGTTTTTTTTTCTAACACCAAACCAAATCAAATCAAACCATAGTCGGATTTTGTTTCTCGATTTGACTCGGATCGATTTGGTGCGATTTGTCGGTTTTCTTTGTACACTCCTGCTCAGGGCAATTGAAATGGTCAGTATTAGAAGAGTAACAAAGTAAAACTTTGAAATAAGAAAATTAGGAGTTAGAGATAGTAAGTTAAGGGAAGGGTGTTGCTTGTTGTTGCTTGTTGGCGGAGCCATACTAGCTAGTTAGTCTGTAAGGGAGAGAAATATTTTACTAATTCAAATAATTCACATTTATTTACCAATTCAAACTTCCCCATACTTGGCCAATTTCTTTTTACTACTAACATAATATGCAAGTATAATCAATTTCTAATTCTCCAAAGTAATAACCAGCCTATGTTACGTATTTATTCAGTTACACCTAATGGTGAGAAGAAAAGAAAGCACAAACATGTTAAGCTGAGAAGCACCACCCGAACCATACTTGAAAAATTAAAAACGGTATAGTCGCAATCTGTCCATCCATGAAAGTGAAAGACAAAAACACAAAAAAGAAAAACAAACGAGGAAACAAAGTTAAGAATAATTGATTCATATAAGCATATTGGAGTATTGGTACGTTTTTTTTAAGGGAGTTGGTACTTATATTACCAATTCTTCGAAACCCCCACTTTAGAAAATATAGTAAACATTTTTTCTCCAAAATAACATTGAAAAGAAATTTAACTCTTCATTTATCTTTAGTTTTAATAAAATTTGTATGATTATTATGAAAGTAGATTTGCAAACCCCGGCCAGAAAGGGTTTTGTTAAGAACATTACGTTATAGAGTCACAGCAGACAATATAAGGTGGTATGTATCTGTCACGACCCAAAATCCCAACCTGTCGTGATGGCGCCTATCTCAATAATGGGCAAGCCGATAATCTCAATAAAACACAATTTCTCTTAAGTTTGAAAATATAATATTTAAATATGATACAAAATCTCACAAATACTTATACGAACACTCCCCAAAACCTGGTGTCACTGAGTACATGAGCATCTAATATGTATTCAAGTTTGGAAAATACGGTCTATAATAGTCTATGACCAAATACAGTAAACAAGGAGATAGGAAAAGAGAGACAAGGTCTGCGAAACACGACAGCTACCTCTGAATCTCAGGAAAATCAACTGTACGAGAAAATCAACACCCGCTATGTCCAGAAGCACCTGGATCTGCACACGAAGTGCAGGGTGTAGTATGAGTACAACCAACTCAGCAACTAACAATAATAAATAAGGAATTGAAGATAGTAACGAGCTACACAGTTATAGTTCATTTCTAGTAATTCCAATAGAGAATAGACATGCTTTCAAATCCAGCAGTTTAAGTCAAATCAATTTATACAGTTCAAGTTCATGTAATCCGGATATAAAATCTTTCAGAGAATTTAACGACAACGACAAATAGCAACTAAGTGCAACAACAAATGAAAAGCAAGTACAGCCTCTCAGGGCAATAGTCACTCCACTCGTCACAACAACTCAACCACTCGGCTCTCAGCTCTCACCACTCACACTCAATGGGTACCCGCACTCACTAGGGGTGTACAGACTCCGGAGGGGCTCCTACAGCCTAAGCGCTATAATCCGCACGGACAACTCACGTGCTGCACGGACAACTCACGTGCTATAGTATTAATATCTGGATCCGCACGGACAACTCACGTGCTGCACGGACAACTCACATGAGTATAATATCTGGATCCGCACAGACAACTCACATGCTGTACGGACAACTCACGTGCTATAGTATAATATCTGGATCTGCATGGACAACTCACATGCTGCAAGGACAACTCACGTGCTATAGTATAATATCTAGATCC